CTACTTTCCTATCGGCTCGCCGATCTCGCCCCGCTTCGAAACTCCGCGGGGAGGAAAATGGCTGGACGTTTTCACGAACTTTTCTACTCCCCGACTCTCTCTCTCTCTTTCTCTTTCGTATTTTGCACGTGTGACGCGATCTCTCGGATCCAATGGACACTTTTATTGCTTCTGACGAAGTTTCGTCTCGCGATGGTGATGATCGAGCCATTCTCTCCCTCCGATTCGAGGGAAGGGATCCTTATCCGATCGTCCGTGAAAATGGTTCATTCGTACATACAAAAAGTTGGAAAAACAGGCTTCGATGTTTTCGACGAGCTTTTTCTTTATTTTTTATTTTTTTATTTTTCCTTCGGACCAACAAAATCGTAAGTCACGCGAGGAAACGATCCTTTTGTTCTCGTTTCGGGAATACACGTTTAATCTGCATCTCGATCCATATTGTATGAGGACTAGGATATTCAATGACTTCTATTCAAACGTCCATTTGAATATACGGAAATTTCCAAGGGAAAATGGGGGCCGTTTCCAAGATTCCTGCCCTTCCAAGCCTTTCGAGTCTAGGTCAAAGACAAGCGCCGTAGACGAGCTTTTTTTTCTTCTTCGCGATAGGCGAGGTATCTGCCTCCCTCGCGCAGAGACTCAGACATCTCTCTGGGGAGGGAGGGGGAAGGAGGAGGGATGGATCTGTGGAATTGGAGCACGCCTTCTTGCAATTCGGTACCGAATGGTTAATCGCGAGGAGGTTTCAGGAGATGGCATCGCGCAAAGGAGGTGGAAAATGGAAAGGGAGAGAGGCGAGGAAAGGGAAACAAACGAACTTACGCGGAACGGGGCGAATCGCTTTGACAAAAGGCTCGTTCTCGCGATCCATTACGGTATTCGGACTTCTGACTAATCTCTTTTCTCTCGCATTGCCCCTCTGACTCCCTCCGGACCCTTTGTGACTTCGAACTCATTGTTACGAAGATATTGGAACTTTCTGCCTTCTCTCTCTCTCTTTCTCTCTCTCTCTCTTTCTCGCTCTCGTAACACCGTTAAGCAATTAAATCGAAAACTTTTACGCGGTACCGTTAAAAAACACAATTAAAGCGGACCTCTATCTGGTGGTCACGTCGTTTTCAATTCTCAACTCTTACCCCCTCTCCATCCATTCAAATCTTCGATCCAACGACAATGTTAAAAGGGAGGGAGGAGAGGGGATCATGGGTTAAATCTTTTATGATTTCGGCTCGAGTCCTCGAAAGAACTCATTTGCCTCGAATAGCGAACGATATCTTTAACTTTCCAAATGGGATCTCTCGGATTCGACGATTATTGGAAAGGATAATCGCTAGCTATGAGCTTCCGTGGAGATAGACGCATAGACGGGGATAAGGATGCGAGAGTGGTGAAAGAAGAAGTGAAAAAGAACGCGAGGGAGGAGGGGAGAAGGGAGGGAGAAAGATTTCCGCGTTTCGAGAGCGAAGAACAACAAAGTTTCTTAATGAAGAATAACGTTCCAGGCAAAGGAAAGATATTTCCACTTAACCGGGAATTCTCTCGGCAAGTCTTTCCTCTCCTTTGCTTCCTGTCCACGGGAATTGCTCCCCATTTCTCCCCTAATCTTCCGTTGTTCCTCCCGAAACGTTAAGAATACCCCTCCTCTCCACGGACTATTGACAGTACCCGGTCGAAAGAGTAGTATAACCTTCGATTCAATCTCGCGTTTTAATGAAACCTCTTGGAAACGAAATGAATTTTGACTATAATGGACTTCCATTCGATGGCTAAACTGTGTCTCTGGATTCCGTTCGTGCCCTCTTCTCTTTTTCCCCGAGAAATGTTCGTAAACGTTTGGGAACAATGCGAGAATCGGGAAATGTTTGCTTGAAGGATATTTATGCAAGTTTGAAATTTTTTTTAAGGAAAAAAAATTTTGTAAAGTAAAATACGAATATTCTCGTTCGTTTATCATTTTCGTGTCTTTGCTATTACAAAAAGAGAGAGAGAGAGAGAAAGAAAAGAAAGGAGCAAAGATTCTTCTTGACTACTTCTTTATCTATCGCCTCCCAACACGCGACACGTTTAATTTTTCTTAATGATCGGACAAACTTCGATTCGAACGCACGAAGAGGAAAAGCATGGAGAAGCGTGGCTCCGTATTACGTCGTCAAAGATGGTTTCCGGACTGGGCCGATACCGTGAGATCGCGTGATTCCGTTCGAGCCTCTCACGCGATCCCCATTTCCTCCTACCGACCTTCCATTTCTTCGTTTAGAAATCTTTCGATCTTCTCCCGAGATGTAGGTCGTCTAGATGGCTATTTCAGGTAAACGGCATTCACTTGTCTCGGCCTGGAACGAGCGTAGATGCACCGATACGTGCGAGCCACCATGATTCTTAACCTGGATCGATTCCGACGTCAATTCATCGAAAACCGTGGCAACGCGTGATTCTTCCATTCTTTGTCACCGAATCGCAGCACCGAGTCGCGTTGTCGAGACTCTTTCTCTCCTTTTTTCATGCTACATAAAAATAAATTAACGAATTTCATAATGAAACTCCTAAAGAGACTAAGAGAAGAAAATAATAATCAAACAAAAAGCTCTCAGAGTCTGCTATCGTTCTACTTCTACACTGCCTCTACTTCATCTCATAGATCCATCTTTCCAAATTAAGCAACGATCCACCTTCCTGATCCACCAAGAAATAGAGCGATAGATCTTTCTAATCAGTTTAGACTTCGTCCCTAATAACGCGTTCTATCCCTCTTTCCAAATGAAACATTAACGAGGCATCTGGCCTCAATCAAGCGTGATTGTTCGAAATTGTGAGTTCGGTCGTATAACGCGTTGATCGATATGCGCGTTTCGAGGTCGGCCACCACATCGATGTCGGTGGGGGCACGCGTGCCACCCCTTCTTTGCTCATTCGCCGATGCGGCGATTATCGGCGCTCGATTCATCCCCGAGGCATGCCCGTACGTAAAACTTTCGCGGATGATGAAAATGGCGCGGCGATTGATCGCTCGCACGCGTTCACGTGGGAAAATTGGAGCCGCGGCACGTGAATAAACCGGACACACGCTCGTTGGCATATTTATTAAACGGGAACAGGGAACAGGCTTGGCCGAGTAATCCCGCAGCGAAGCGACGGTTTTCGCGGTAAAGCTGCGGGAACGGGTTATTTAAAAAACAGTTGGATCCGTGCTTTTCGATGTGTGCGTTCCTTTTCAGCGAGGAGTGGGAGGGGAGAGGGTGCATCGATCGATTTAGAAGTAAAACAATTCCGTTTTTATTATTGAGACGAAGATTCTTCTTCGTGTTTATCTTCGATTCTGTTACAATAGGTGAACAAAAGAGTGTAGTCTTATTTTTCGAAGGGGGTAGTTTCTTTTTTTCTACGTTTCATTCTCGTGATCTCGTAAAATAATATGAAATTTAATTGTCACGAATAAAATAGTATCATTCGTGCTTATTAATTAATATAATATACTTAGGTTACATTCATATCGATTCGTTCCTTTTTCTTTTCGCGAGTATTAATAAGGTACGATATACACGTGGCTTTTGCGAAATAACGAGACAAAGATGAAACCTTGGCTCCACGCGATGCTTCAAATTCTCTGGTCGTCTGGTCAAGAGGCGGATGAGCGGGTGCACGTGCAGATTTCATACACAATTTAATCGAAAATGTTAAAAACGAATATACTGGCGGCCCGCTACTAATTTCGCCGGCCTCTGTACAAAACCAAGCGTACATTATTTTGCGCTTGGCCCGGCGCCAGCAGCCAGGTAAATACAACGTTTTCATGAAGATAACGTCGGCGGCCTCTCCACAGAGATGCGAATGGCAAATGAATCCGCCCCGTAATTCTTATTTTTGGGATCCGGTCCCGTGGAACCGATTACTCGCTGGATTATCCGGACATATTTATCGACAGACTCTCTCTCTCTCTTTCTCTCTCCCCTACCCTCTCTCGAGATCGAATCGCAACGATTGTATGCACACGTCTTCCGAGCGTCGATCGATTCTTTCGCGTGCAACGAGGGGAAGGGAGCATATCAAGGGGGCGAGCAATCGAATCGACGGATTAATTAATTTCACCCCGATAACTCGGCGATTCGGTTGTTCGTCGACCGATAGAGATTGATTTCGAAGGTGAAGGTGGCGGATAAAGAGAGAGAGAGAGAGAGAGCAAGTCTATCTAATTTCAGACGGCCGGTATAATCGAATCGCGATAAATTCCACGCGAACGAGTCGAAGGGAAATATTCGTTTGCAAGAATAGTAGTCACGATCAAACCTAACCCGATCCATTTCATTTCTAAGCGTTGAAACTCTCGATGCTCCGTTACCAACGTTGACTAATCAACTTACGATTTCGTTCGTTTCCTTGGAAAATAAAAATAGAAAAAAATGAAACGAGTGATGGCGCGATGCCATCGGGGGCGGTGGTGCAGGGCAGGCTTAGTCTAAAAGCGACCGGAGGGGGTAGAGTCTTCGATAATGGGACACAGGTTAACGCGGCGTACACGGGAACGCTTTTTCCCCTTTCGAGATGGCTCTGCCCGTAACTGCAATATGCGATTTCGGCCGGTGGCAGGGGATATTGCGAAATAAAAAGGGTTAAATTAAAAATTCTCGGTCGAATGCGCCGCTCCTTCGGCCGAGCAACCTCTGAGAATACGCCTGCGGAATTTGAACGTGAAAGAGAGTTTCCAACCAACCCCCCCTTCCTCCCTCCCTCCTGCTTCTCTTTATCCTCCTCATTCCTCCGGTAACCCGAAGGCTTCGACTTTTATAACAAGTTCGGTATAAAAGACGGGCCTTTGTGCCTTCGTAAGCCGTCCTTATCGATATTTTTCGATAACAAAAATGAAGGAGCAGGGTTCGTGGATCCCCTTAACCGGGTCTCGACTCTCGGCCAGAAAGAGAGAGAGAGAGAGACTCCATCATCCCTCGAACGCGAAATTCAGCAAGTTTTTCCTTCTTTGTGTTCCAGAACGACACGATGCAAGTGGTTTGGCAATATCACGTCGAGGAACCGGTGTCCGCCGCCGGAGTTTTGCCGGATCACGACGCCATCCGGGGATCGAGGCCCCTTTATCTGGTGCAAAGGGACGCTCAACCGAGGCCAACGTCGCGCAACCAAGAGGCCGAGCCACCGCTTCAAACGTGGGACATATTGAACCAGCAGGTTGGTATCGTATTCTATCCATCCTTTGCTGGGCTCAAACGCGATCGATTTAACAGATCGCGTCGCCGTTCGTATTCCGCGCGATGCCGTCGTAGAGCGGAACCACCGCGGTTGGTTGGTTCTTGGACGGGTCCGACGATGTGCGAAACCGACACGGGGAATCGTGTGGGCGGAAAATTATGGTGTAATACGAGCCATTGCGCGGCGGATAATATGATTATACGTGGAGGGAGGATACGGTGCGATGGAACGCGTCTTACGTATGCATAATGATAGAGAGGCAGGCGTAGGTGGTAATAATGTAATGGATAGGTGTTCGCCGGACTTTAATCGTTAAGGGTTAAGTCGAAAGGTAGGTGAGAACCGGCCAATTTGTATTTTGTGCGACTTGTATACAGGGTGAGTCGTAAAAGAGGAATTTATGAAAAAAAAAATCTTGAAATCGTAGTCTTCGATATTATAATGAATTTTAGGAATCACATCTCTGTATGCGTGAATTCGGTTTAAGATTTTGTTACAAATTTGTCTTGTAGATATGTGTGTCTCTCTCTCTCTCTCTTTCTCTTTATGTTGTTTATCCAATTATTCAAGGAACAGTTGGCGCATAGTAACACAAGGCACATAGTGGCGAGGGAACGAGCTTAATATTCATCGAGACGACGAAGGAGTTTCTGTGGAAAGGCGATTAAAGAGTTTTAATTACGGGCTGGAAACGTAGTGTCAACGATATCATATTAAACTCGATTCTCCGTAGAAGCTACTTTTCCAAAAGCTCCCCGTATCCGTGAGTTTACTCTCCACAGGGGAAGTCTGTCGGACGAAATGAATCGCGCCAGCTCCGATTCGTCGCTATGACACTCTGGTTCCATCGAACTTCGATAATGCCTTTGAAGTTATTAGACACATTCGTCCCGTAACCGTGGCTATTAAAATTTAATTGTAATTGAACGAGAACGCGGTGGAAAGTTTTCAGAGAAATTGCATCAGACGATGGCTGGCCGTCTAATATCCTCGCGACGAATCTTCGCGCGAATTTTCGCCACGATAATGGTCTTTAATTAACCATCTGTATCCGTGAAATGCCAATTTCAGTAATTTGGATAAATTTTATATAAAAAGAAAAAGAATTCTTAATTACCATTTCTCTAATTTTAATATCCAACTATTTCTTGTTAACAAAATTATAAATTCGTAACAAAACTATAACTTTAATTTTCCTTTATCAATCTCTACAATAATGGTTTGATTAAAAATTTAATAAATTCAAAATTGAACAAATTTGATATTTATATATAAAAAAAAAAGGAATTCTTAATTACCATTTCTCTAATTTTAATATCCAAATATTTCTTGTTAAAAAAATTATAAACTCGTAATATAAAATATCAAACGTAACAATCTTAATTTTAAAAAAATCTAAAAATCAAAATTTCCAAGGGAACTCCCGAACGCAATTTCAAACCTCTACACCCGCTAATTTGGCCGGTCGTTGGCAATCCGCTCGCGCGCAGGAGGGTCATTACTCGCCCTCTTCGTTCCTTCGAAGGCGGCCCGTTCCCTTTCGTTTTATTGTACTCGAGCGGCGATACTCTTCGCGGTCGATTCAGTCACGCTTCTGTTTCGCGAGCGCGTTTGCACCACTCTTCCTCCTCCTCGGGCACGCGGTTCGAAAAGGAGGAGGGGAGGGCGAAAGGAAAGGAGAAGAAAAAGGACAGACGGAAAGGAGACAGAGATCGAAGGCAAGCGAGAGGGAACGAGATAAAGCGAAGCGTGGCACGGTTGCGCGGCGAGATGAATGTTCGAACCCGTTTAACGTTCAGCCTGGTACGAGTGGATTTTTATCGGATGCAAGCCGCGAAGCATTGTGCGCCGAATTTATGAGAGCATAAATCTTAACCGGGTCACATCCGGCAAAAACTATTCGTTCATTAGCGTCGCCGGGTCATAGATTACGGTTGGACGCTATCGCGGGGATCGGACAATGCTAATTCCACGGGCTGCCGAGCTTTTGCTTATATAGTTTATATACACCGGCCAAGGTAGGGATGATCCGGTGTACACGGATTTATACTCCCTCCCTGTTTCGACAACGAGCCAGGGATGGATCGATCATCCGCGTGAATAACGAAGATGAAAAACAGTCGATCTGTTCTCTGTCAGCCAGGAATACCAAGAGAGCAGGGTTGTAAGGGTAGCTAGACGGACGTCGTAAACACGGGGATTGCGAATGCACGAACGATCCGTGCGAAATACGACGATACGAAAGGAGGAGACGTGCAAGTTATCAGTCAGGTGTCTTTTCGATGGCGATCGATCGGCGAAAAATCGGGAATTTTCGACGAATCTCTCTCTCTCTCTCTCTCTCTTTCTCTCTCTCTATCGTTTCCATTCGTACGGGGAAATTTCCAACGACGAGGAATGCTCGCGAGTGTACGTATCGCGTCTGATAAATGGCACTTTCGATATTTTTGCGCGATTCAATCGAGCGACGCGTGTCAACGAGTCCGGTAATGGAAACGAACGAAGCTGGGTCCGGCATTATCAGAAAAAGGCCGGGTGATGAAATAATAAATTGGAATTACGGGGAGGCGGGGAAGAGGAGCGGGTCGAAACCGAACAACGCTAATTTCATCAGTTCTGTTTACAATTTCGCGTCAAAACGGGGGATCGGGAAACTGGGCTGTTTCGATGCTCATCATGCTGTAACAAATTACCGCGTCTCTCAACTGGAAAGGAATTACTCGCTCGCAAATGGAACGATCCTCTTTTTTCTTTTTTTTTTTTTTTTTTTTTACTTCGATATTCAATGAAATTGGACGCGCTCTCGCCACGATGCTTTTTTCCTCCTCTCTGGAATCACCATTGGATCGTCGTCGTATCGTTGTACGTTCTCGCGAGAACAATAAATTTTAATAAAAAACGAGGATTAAATTTTGACGTTTTAACGAGACGTCTATACGTCATAACGCGATGAGAGAAATTTAGAGAGAAATTTTCAAGCGTGGATGTTTGTGCGATTTGTAGAAATACTGTTGTAAATATGCGTGGTAATACGTGGTCGGATTCAACGTTGAGAGGCCTCGTTTAATTTCCAAGTTTCCTCGACCAAGTTGAACGGTATGCTATTATAGTGTACTACAACTAGTTGCCACTATCGTGAAACTCATACATGGGTTTAGTTTTCAATCCTCTGTTTGTGAGATCGGAATCAATTCTCAAACGCTAGCAACTTGATTATTCGTTACTCGATCAAATTCTCGATTATCCAATTTTCATTCATCTATTTCACAACAATTTCTTTAAAAAAAAAAATATCGTACTTTGCTACGATACCACGTCAAGTTTCTTCAAGACTTCTTAATTCCGACAATCATTCGATTAATGGTTACTTTCTTGAAAAGACAAAAACGTAATCGCAGTTTCAATCAACTCAGGAAACTTCTCTTCTTCTTCTTCTTCTTCGTTCTTCGCCAAAGACATTCAGATACGACGCAACATTGTGCGTGATATCGCTTATCTACAACCATTCCTTTTCTCCCATTCCTTACTTCTTTCTTATGAGAATGCTACTTGTTCTCCGTTAACTACGCACGCGGAAGTTTCATGCCGGTCGAATAACTTTTGTATCACGGCGAGATGAATATGAATGTCTGGAGGCGCAAAGAGAAAGTGAGAGAGAGAGAGGCCAGCTTGTTAGAACGGATTTCGCATTCATTCCGGACCAACCACCCTTTCTCCGGCGATACTTTTTTCGCGGCTCACTCTCGAGTCGAAAGGGAAACTTTGCCGACGAGAGAGCGCCAAATTTGCCTCGGGCGGATGCCGTTTTCGCGCCTCATCGTCACCCTTGTTGCCTCGTGAATTTATATAATACCGCATCCTGTCTCCCTTTTTCCTCTCCCCAAACATCGTTTGCATACCATTATCACGACACCATGGGATTATTTCGCATTTTTAGTGGAGAAGCAGTGTACAGGGTGTTGAAGAGATTGTAGGCAGAAAATTTATGGATGAGATAATTCTTATTGGATAGTGGATCTATCAAGTTGCAAATCAAAACGATTCTACTATCGTTAAATAAATCGTTTGGAAGATATAAATACACATTCGCGATTCATTTCCAAGTTAAAATTTGAAAAATCAGCATTTATTTTATTTCTACTGTTCTGCGCTTCGTCCATCGCAAAATCGAAAATCTTTTCTTGTTTTTGATTCAATTTTCATAATCATCTTCCTCTAAAATTTTCTATCCCACGTTCACGAATCTCATATGAATGAATGAACCTTTCGTTTCGAAGAAATTTCAGTTAACGTTCGCAAGAAACGCACCAGTTTCCACGAACTACCAAGTTCATTAGCGATGGCATTCGTCATCAATCATAGCCCGGGGTAAAACGTGGCCGGTGAAAGGACACGCCATCGTTCTTCATTCCCGATATAGTTATTTCAGAGGATTCTATCTTGCTCGAATTTCTGTTATATATCTTCGCTGTCTCGCGGCACAACCAGACACGTTTCCACGCTAGCTAGCTCCTGTATATTTTTTTTTTCTTCTTCTTCTTTCCTCTCATTTCTTATTTCCTCTCTACAACTTTTCAACGGGCCTCTTTCACTCGCACTAATTCCTCCTCCGCATCAGAGATGTATCAGATGTCAGAGATTTGGAGAGGGGGATCGCGACGGCGTTATTAGTTATTTATAGGAGCGCAACAGCGTGGATGGAAGGGGAGAAAAAAAAAGTTGGCGCCGCGATGAGAAAAGGGCGAAACTCGGCGAAGTGGCCTCGGCCGAGTAACGTAAAACGCGTTTTTATGTGGGCCGACGTTCAAAGGAAGCCACCCATTTGAAACGCATAGCACGCGAGACGCGGCTGGGATAATTATCGTCTCTTCTCTCTTTCCAAGAAATTCACGGGGAGAGGGGAAAAAGCGGCCAAGGATGAGACGTGTCATGAATCGCTCTCCTCCCCTTTTATGCATATTTTAATTCATAAACCGGGCTTACCGTGGATTCGTTTACGCGTCTTTAATAACGTTTCATCCAGGATTTTATCAAAATGAATTAAACGCGAATGCGAGAAGGAAAAATTGCCGTTGGAATTCTATGCAAGTTGAAATTTTTACACACAGGAATAGATGTATTTATTCATTGGAAAATAAAAGTGGAACCGTTCCGTATCCATCTCTTACTTTGAATATAAGTAAATAATAATCTTTTACATAGTAAAAATTTCGATTCCTGATAAACCAAAACGCCAAATTCATTTACAATTCATCCATATTTTCCAACAAAACACAGGCACAACACTCCTATTTTAAAATACTTGAAAAATATTGGCAATCTACGCGTACCCTCTCGCAAAATTCCAATACCAACTCCTCGGTATGCAATTTCTCGACCTATCCTCGCATATCGAAACGATCACGTATCCTACCGCGTGTATCGAGATCATCGTATCGAAGTCGACTGAGGGAAATCGTTCGGCGGGAAACACAGGCAGAAGCCCGGAGGAATCGTAAACACGGGTCCAAATCTTGGCCGTGCCCGGGGCGCCGTTCACCATATTCGACCGCAAAACAATAAACGCAGAGTCGTCCTTCCCGGTAATCTTGACATCGATAATTTCGGAGAAACGCGTGGGAGAAGCCGGAGGCGGGCTCGAAGGTGCACGGCCGCGAAAAAAAGAATCGCAATTTTCTCTCGGGATCGCGCACGTACCCCGCGGCTCCAACCTTTCGTTTCCGATTTCTTTTTCTTTCTTCTCTCCTCTTCTCTTCTCTTTTCTTCTCTTCTCTTTTCTTTTCTTTTCTTCCAGATCTTTTTCGGCGTAAAACGCACTACTCGGTTCGACGAGGATTTTTCTCTCCGATCTCGGTTTTAAGACGCCTTCTCAATCGTAATCGCGCGGCAAAATGGAGGAGGAATCGTCTTCGGATCGTCTCCGTAACGTTAAAGATGGAATATCGGAGGGCAAAGATTAAATTTGTTCAATACGCCCTTTTGTGCTCCCTTTTGCGGACAATTGCGATCCTCGCAAGCGGTTGGAAATTCACGTCAAATATCCGTCGTTTTATCCGATGGTAATATATGCTTTGAGAAGGAATCCTTTTTGTGGTGGAAGCTTGACCACTGAAAACGACGATAAGCTATCTTTTTTTCTGTTAAGAAAAAAGAAGCTTGGAAGAATTTGTAATTTAAACCCCATTTCCTTTCAACCTGCGCAAATTTAATTCTCCAAAAAATTCACTTAGGATTGATTTTTTTCCAAAAGGAAAACTAAGCTTTTATTCATTTATATTTATTCCAATTCTATATTTATTTCCTTCAAATTATTTTCTTCTTAGAAATTAATTAATATTTTTCGTAATATTCATCTCGAATTATAAAGAATAATTTGCGGTAAAAATTTCACGTTTCAAATATTCGTTTTCGAAGAGAAAAGAAAATGAAACACGAGGATACGACTTCGTCCGTGCAGAATCGTCGAAAACAGCGATGGTTCCGCTCGTTTCGCAGGGGGAGCACGTCCCATGCAGCTAAAATCGTTGGCCGGGATTAAGTTCGTCACGAATAGTCGGCGGAAACTCGGTCGAAGATAGTTGCAATTAGAAAAACAGTTTGGAGGCTGACAGTCCGATGGCAACCGTTGTACCTCGCTAAATACCACGTTACTCCATTAACGGGAGCACAGACAGATCCATACCGTTCCCTATCAGTTTCGTGCAGCATGGGGGATGAGCTTTCGACCGTGTTGTGCGCCACTCTCCACAGAGCGTTAACATTTGAGAAATTTTGAGAAAGTATTAACTCGTGGCTTAACAACGTCCATCCTTGTCCAATCTCGATTCCTTTCTTCCTCGTATCGTGTGTGCAATCATCTGTTTCAGATATATCTGAATAGATGTCCTGTTTTATTAGGATTGCTTGAAATTGGGAATTTTTGTTGAGAGGAGGCAAATCTATGCAGATTCGATCGACGTCTTGAATTTGATGGATTTTTTCATCCGTATATCTCTCTCTCTCTCCTTCTCTTCTCAAATGGAAATTTCAAAAATTCGCTGATCAAATTACTTTTGAATTTTAAATATTATTATCTGCACTGTATCAGAGACGTGGGTTGAAAGTAATCTGGATCGGGTGGACGAGAACTAATTATTTAAAATAATAATAATAATCGTATAGTTTTCTCGTTGTAAAATATAAAGTTTGAATTTTCGGAAAAAAAAAGAAAAAAAGTAGTTAATTTATCGTAAAAGTTTTCCATCTTCGAAACAACATCTCGCGGAATTAAGCTCGTTTAACCAACCATCGTCTTCGAATTACTTTGCAGGTACGCTTACCCAAGGGACAAGACACGTTGCTTTGGTGCCGCGTTCTTAGGATGCCAAACATTGATCACAAACACCACGTCGTCAAGGTAAGTTCACCTCCACAGCTATAACCTACTTACCAGCAGCAACCCTCCCACGCCGCGTCTTACGCATCCCTAACCCATCTAAACTTGATTAAACCTGGAACGTACGAACGGATTCCCGTCGACGTGGGAGCTGTCAAGCATCGGAGAGATCTCCCCCGGTTTGTCGGCTCGTCGAAATTCTCGCGAATTTCTTATCAAGATTCAGAGAACGATCGTTTCACCCCACCATTTACCCTTAATCTCGCCTTCCATTACGAGCGACGAATGATAGAAACGCGAATACCGAAAATACCCTTTCGAGAAAAGAGGGGAGGCGAGATTTATTAGAATTTATTTTTAAACGCAGTCCCTTTTTTCTCTCTCTCTCTCTCTCTCGTTTCACTTCGTATCTTTAGATGGTTCGCGTCTCGTGCGGAATCATTCGACGAATTTGTTCTCTATTCTCGACCGTGACACGCCAAAAATTGGAAATACACGTCTCGTGGTTTCGACCTACATATCACGTATATATATTTTAAACGAGCGATCGAACGAGAGACGTGTGACAGTCGATCTGTAAAATCTGTATAACCGCGAGTCGATTTCGCGTTAGTAACGACGGCAGGATTCGTGTGGAAAGTATTTTGGGATCTAATTTAAATTTATCCTCACGCCTCGTATATTTATCGTTATGTTAAATTATCGCGCCTAATTTAATTCGTAATTTTTCCTTTATATGCAATTCGGAATGATATCCGAGATATCCGATGATCCTCGATTATTTCGATATTTAAAAATCGCGGAAACAGAGGCGATATTTTCCCTGTAATCGTGATATCGTAACGTGAAATCGTACGATATTTGTGAATCAATCGTTCCTGACCGCGTGTAACGCGATTACGTTCTAACGAAATTTCAGAGAACAATTCTCTTCTGTTCAACGATTTATCCTTCGATTCATCGAGATGTAGATGCATACTCGCCAATACAGGGAACACGTGGTTAACATTCTTTCGAGCGTTGCGATTCATATCGGTTCAAAGGCGCACGTCAAAAGATCTCTGATTTTTATCGAAGATGCAATCGCGCTCCAACGATGAATTAAGTTCTTCAACGAGACAGCGGCTCCTTTTTTCCTTTTCTTTTTCCCCCTTCATTTGTTCGTCTGACAGGTGTTGGATGTAACGCCGTTGTGTCTCGTTCCTTTTTCAGCACGAGCCTGTGATACAACCCGGAAGTCACGATTACCTGCATCACATGACTTTGTACGAGTGTCGTGGGGATCAGGGACAATTGGAATCCGCAGCGAAGACGTCAGGCAGTGTTTGCTATCAGTCCAATCAGCCGTCTCTTCAATGTAATACAATCGCCGCTATCTGGAGTCTGGGCTCCGAGGTATGCTACGTGACACATTTAAATGTAAATTAAGAATTAAACAAACTTCCCCTTCGGGAGAGGGAGGTCGAAAAATAAATTTCGAAGGCAGAAAAAAAAAAAAAGAAAAGAAAAATTGGTTCGATCTCGGTTCGAGCGCTCGGACGTTGAAGCTGGATTGATTGAAATTTATCAAATAAATTCGAAATACACGATATCTGGAACCTGTAATTCTCGCGTGGAGAATATCATTTCAAAGTCGGTTTTTAATTTTATTCATTTATTCGTAGATCTCTTTTCCTTCTTTTTTTTCCTTTTTTTTCTTTTTTTTCTTTTAATTATTCCACGTAGGCAGAAGTGGTTTCGCGTGTACCAGCAATTAAATCGTGACACGATGTCGCGTGCGAGATTAACCGGTGTCCCCGCGATCAGTCGCATCTTCGCAGGGTGTTCGTGTTACCAGCGACCACGAAGAAACGAGTTCGTGGCCGATCTCTCTCTCTCTCTCCCTCCCTCTCTCGCCCCCCTCCGCATTGGTATGCATTACACAAAACCCGGAATTACCGCGATATATACCCGCATCCAACCACCGTGTGTCTCTCTTATGCTCGTCCCAAGATGACGTCGGATTAACATTCGTGGACACTGATTTATCCACCGTGTAATTATCCTCGGTCGGTGATTCAAATCTCGATTATATCTCCAATGATTTATACGTGCGATTAAATCACCTCCGCTTATTCCACTTTACATACATATTCTTCCGCTATATAAATAAATAACGCGTACGAGAATCGCTAATTATTCTCGCGATTGTAAATTGATTATTTCCAAAATTTCCTAGACTTTTCTTTTTTTTTTTTTAAACAGTAAATCATCGATTCAAATCGTTCCATTCGTTCGAAGAATCCTCGACAAGCATCATAAAAATACCATAAAAATATCATAAAAATAAAAAATATCATAAAAAGTCGACGAGTGAGCGTTTCGAAAAGACTTCTGCCTCGAAGACAATAATTCATCGAGCGAATAGTCCGAAACAAGAAGCAGCGTAACCATTTGTACAAAGACCTTCGACGAGCGTTCCACAAATCCGAACGCTCCCGATTCGTCCCATTCCCAACGCGGCGCATAATCGAGCGCGTTCGCCACGGTTTTTCTTTTCGCAGGGGTTCAATTACCCGGCCGAGGCCGGCTACGCGCTGGATCCGCACACGGGACCTCGCTACTACATGCTCGAGACCCACTACGCGAATCCTCAGATGGACGCGTTCATAAGCGACAGTTCCGGGCTGCGTTTGCATTACACGGACAAGTTGCGCACCCACGACGCCGGGATTCTGAGCGTCGGCATCGACCCCAATTGGAGGCACATCATACCGCCAGGCCAAGCGGAGGTGGTATCCGAAGGTCACTGCATCTCGGACTGCACCGGGCACACGATACCCAACAGCGGCATCAACATATTCGCCGTCATCATGCATACGCATCAACTGGGGAGGAAGGTCAGATTGCGTCAGATAAGATCAGGCGAGGAGCTGCCACCCATTGCGTCCGACACCAATTACGATCCCAGCTATCAGGAGTATCGGAAGCTGCAGAAGCCCGTCAGGGTCTATCCGGTGAGTCGTTTGCAGTCCCTTCTTTAAATGATTTGCCTCGATCCCAGAAATTTTGATCGAAATTTTGATAGGGAAACTGAAAAGTAATTTACTTTATGTGTTTCGTGTAAGTTTGAGAGTATTTTCGAGAGATGAATCTTCGGGATAGGGGTGAAACGTTCAATAATTTATTTAACGTTTATAATTTATCAAAATTAATTTTCTTGATTTATACTTACTGTTATTCTGATCGCACGAACTGAAAATTGGATTACGTCCTGATTTAAACGCCGATCTCAGAAATTTTGAATACCGATGGAGGGAAGTTGTCGTTTCTTTCGCCGATCGAATTGGAAATCAAGTAATTTAGTTTAGCGATGTGTCTTGTGATGCGTGTATTTTTGAAGATGAATCTTCGAGATAAGGATGAAACGTTCGATAATTCGTCTAGCGTGTTTAATTTATCAAAGTTAAAAATAGATTACGTGGATAATCTCGATTTATTATTATCGTGATTCCGATCGATGGAAAACGATTACATTACAATCGATTCGACGATATTTTCGTTCCAGGGCGATCATTTGGTGGCCGAATGCACGTACTCGTCTAAATCGAGGCAAGCAATCACGCTCGGCGGTCTGACAACGAGGGAAGAAACTTGCCTGGTGTCCACTCTTTATTATCCCCGCATCGAGCTGTCGCTCTGCTACTCTCTCCCTTCATTACCAACGGTTCTGCAGAGTTTGGGGATCCAAAAGCTGATGCAGTGAGTATTTGTCATAACGTTTTCCAGCCCTTGTTTAAATATCGACAACGATTTTCGAAGCACGTTCGGATCGTTCACCCGCGAGACAAACGAGACAGCTCGGTCGATTCGAATTTTGCGAAATAATCACGCGGACGTCGCTCTCGTTTCACTTTCTTCTTTCTACTTTTTTTGTATTTTTATTTTTTTTTCGAATCGAGAGAGAGAGAGAGAGAGAGCGAGAGACAGAGTTCAAAGACCGTTTCATATTAATTTACACGGGACGGTTGATACCACGTTAATGATCACGACGCATGACCACCACCATCACCCACCACACACACACACACACACAAAGCTACGACCAGACGTTCGCTCCTTTTACTCTGATTACTTTAAATTGGCAATTAGGGACGGCGATGGCCCGTGCGTCACGACCGCCACGACCTGTCGTTAGCTCAACGAGCGCCGGTTATATTGCGCCAGACGCATCGTTTATTGCATTACGTAATGTTACGTGTGTCACGAAGACGCTTCCTGGCGACGTGTCACGAACCTTAATGTAACAAGCGTCCTGTTTCGCTAAACACACTCCGGGTTACATTGAATACCGTAGTTAAATTACTGTTATTACTACCACTAATATCGGCAGGTCGTTGCCTAGTTGGGTCGTTAACTCCGGCCAGAGATCATTGTCATCTTCGCGTGACATCGCGGTTAAATTGCCGCATCGGTCGAAGAGGGATGCGAGCAACGCCTCTATATTTCAATATAACCATACACCTGTTACCCATCCATTGTCCCGACTCGTTGTTAACCGAACCATCAAACTAATTACCCTCTAAATACTTGAACGATCATCTTGTTATAATTAGAACCACATCCTCTTCGCGTATCTTCCTTCAAGTTGTTCGAAAACTAGATCGATTATTCTTCTTAGTTCTTTCCTTTCCTTTTTCTTTTTTTTTTTCTCTGTCACTCGTATACGTTAAAAAATACTCGAAAGAGCCGAGTGTCCCATTAAAATAGTTCCAAGCTCTCTTTTATTTTACCACCTTCGCACCGACGCCTCCACCTTAAGAAAACGTTCGCCAAGAAAATTTCTCGTCCAAGAAAGAAAATAATGCATGCACGACGTGCATTTTCTCCAAAAAGCTTTGGCAACAAGCTTTGTTTCCGCAAACGAGCGTGCATTCGCGATGCTGGTCACGAGAG